TTCACTAGTTGGTTCAAGTACCACAGTATCGCTAATCAACTGATAATCACTAATATTAAGAACATTACAAGTTGCCCTGAATCTATCATTAAATCTAAAGACACATGGTTGATACTTAACTTCGCAAAAGAGTTTTCCGCCATATTTCTCATAAACATGAATATTAAACAAGAAATCATTATCACTGCTGCTACTATCTGAAATATCCTGATCATGTACATCGTTAATGTTGGAAACCTTAGGCTCGGATCTTTGCGTTTTGTTCTTGCTTTTCAATTTACGACAACAAGAAATAAAATGTCTGACCTCGTGACAGTAATTACACTGCTTACCCTTTGCAGGACAGATGTCTCAGTGTGGATAATGTCCGCCACAATGGAAACAGCTTGATGAACGTTGTGATGAATCTTTAATTTGCCGACTTCTTGTATTGTGCCTTGATTTCGTAGGACGTTTCTGATTTGCTGCATATTGAAAAGTTTTGTTCACGGGGTCTGGTAATTCGCTTCGCGTTCTGATATCTCAAGTGATCTTGCTAGGGAAATAATTTTGTCAAGAGTTAGTTCTTCCTGGAGAGCTTTTCTGCGAACCCTTTTATTCTTACCTCCTTGGACAATCTGATGTTTTATTTCTTCATCCCTCACTGCTTGGTCAGAAATGCCACAATTGTTTATCAATTTTCGAAGTCATGCAACGAACTGATCAATACTTTCCGTATCATGTTGTACGGCATGACGAAATTGAAAAATTTCAAATTCAGTGTTCTTTTTAGGTGTGAAATAATCGATTGCCTTTATTATCTTTTTATAATTGTCGTCATATTCAGGTGCAGTAGGCATAACATAAGTTTCGGAAATGTCAAATAGATCTTCACCACCTCTGTCCAGCAGCATGGCCCTTTTCTGATCTGGGTCTGTAATTTTCCAAGCAATGCAACTGTTTTCGAAACGGGACAACCAGCGCTTCCATCGTGGAGCCAATGTAGTAGAATCTGTATGCACATCTAAAGGAGCAATTTGCGAAAATATAAAACCAGCTTCAACTGCCATTCTGACGACTTCTAAATGGCTAGCACGTGTAGACTAGCGTAATAGTACTCACTGTGTAACAACCTGAAGAAAACAATCACTCTAAGTGCAGCGCCTTCTCTCCCTGTTCAGTATTGTTTATCCTCGTCGCCAATGTGGTATTCTGGGGTGGACCTGTAGCAAAAGCATGTACACACAGTAAAATGACAAGACACAAACACGACCAAGGCTTATAGAATACTGACCACATTTTATTGAATTACATTTCTTTTATAGCAGCGCATGCCAGATGTACTGGCATACCAGGTGTACATTAATTATCATATCAATAGCGTGTACAAATCACTACAGTCTATATTTCCATTGCTGTAAAATTGCATTTTATTCACAAAATAAGTGAAAGTTGGATGTGTCCTTTAGCCAGTTAGAAACTTTGCGCTGTTCAATAGTTTCCATTTACCGGTACTGATGTAAAGCCCATCTGTCACGTGTGGGAGTCGCAAATTAGTCATTCATTATTTATAGAGCTATTTGTTTTTTATCTAGAAAATTCACAACGATGGTTTGCCTAACCAATCCAGTAGAAATGGCAAGAGAAGATCCAGTTCACCATCAGAAAATGGCCCAAAGAAAAGAGCTTTTGGGGACATAACAAATGTAAGTTATTTTATATGTAGGTTTTTTAATGTTACATTATTTGCTTCAGGGTTCTCCCCAGGGCTTTTTAGCGCCGAGGTCCGCGGCGCTATACCTGTGAATCTCGGCGCTTCACTTGGGACCTTGGCGCTATGTGTTCCCACCTCGGCGCTTGATTTCATATTTGACATGCCAATATCAGATGTGAAAAAGCTTTGTTCGCCACGCCGGTCGGCCCCGACCGTCACTCAAAATTAGTGACCACCACGGAAATGCTTCCGACCAGGACTATTGTCTGATTGTTGGTATAATTACGTACCGACCGACACGCATCCTGCCAGTCGTGGATTATAATTTATAAACAATAGACCTAGTCGCACGATACGTAGCGGCTAGTCAAATTTGTGGAATTAGCACCTCTTTGTTTGTAAGTAAATACTTTCTGCGATAGACAGTCTTTAGATTGAAAGCTAAAATTATTTCAAAATCAATTCCACCTCGATATATCATGGTCAAATCGGAGTTCACGATCAGTTCACGCTACTCAAGAAAAAAACAACGTGTTTATTGCGTGAATTGGTAAAATACATTTGAACTGTTATCATTACGAATCATGTAAAAACAGTTCCTTCAAGACCTAATTTACCTTTTAAAAATTGCAAATCACCT